GAACACCAAATCTTGGAAATATGATCGACTTGAACATCTTCATTACTACTTTTGCGTCATTTGTGGGGCTGGCTATGGCTTCTGCCCACTTAGACACGTAGTCAACAGCAACAAGGATGTACTTGTTTCCAAAAGACGAAAGAAAAGGACCCACAAAGTTGATTCCCCAAACATCAAAAACTTCGACTTCTTGAATGATGTTTTGTGGCATCTCATGTCGTTTTCTGATGTTCCCTTGTCTTTGGCAAGAATCACACTTAGATATGAATTTATGGACGTCTTTGAACATAGTAGGCCACCAATAACCAGCTTGTAAACCTTCGCTACAGTCTTATCAGTAGCAAAGTGTCCAGCATAGTTAGATCCGTGACAATGAAAAAGGATTTCTGGAACTTCTTCTTCAGAGATGCACCTGCGAAACAAGTTATCTGCACACTGCTTATAAGGATATGGTTCATCCCAAAAGTACCTTCTTATATCACGCAAGAACTTCTTTTTGTTATAGCCGAAGAATCGTGGCAGTTCGACCTCTGCTGCTAGGTAATTCGCGATATGCATAAACCAAGGAAGCTCGGAAGGTTTTGCCTTTGGAGGTGGGGTTGGACGTGTCTCTGGGGTGACTACTTTAGCATTACCATCTTTCTCCACGTCTCCAATAAGGTTTTGAGAAGTCAATGTCGAGCTTGCATCGGGTGAGATAGTTTTGCCCTTAGATTTCTTTGATTTGCGCTTAGATTTTCTCGCCTTGTGCTTCGATTTTCTTGATTCGACAACTCCCTTAGGCTTGACTGAAAGGGCTTGTATAGAAATGTGTTGACACCTTTCCTTGTTATCTCCAGGGTCTAAAATCAACTTCTCTTCCTTGTAGATGGTTATACAGTAAGAGCTTCCACCACTACAGACTGCAGGATAGAAGATTCTCTTTTTGACTTTAGAAAAACAAACTCTTCGGTTGGGATAATCAACAACTGCCCCCACTGTTGCAAGGAATGAACTTCCAAATATCAATGTCCTGGGAGAGTCATTTTCCATCTCAAGAATGTGAAAATCAACAGGAACAAGACACTCTCCTACTTGCACCATCAAATCTGTTACGAAACCGTATGGAATCATGCTTGAATTGTCTCCAAACTTAACAGAACCGTGAGGAGGTTTGATATCACACATCCCCAGCTCGTTTGCAACTGCTTTGAACATGACATTCACATTTGCTCCTGTGTCACATCGAGAGTCAGAAAATTCCATACCTTCAATTATGCAGGGGAAGACAAACTTAACCGAATCGTTTATCTTATGAAGCTTCCTCTGGTGTGGAACTTTGCCTATTGCATCATACTCTTCAAGACATGCTGGAGATTCAACTTCAGTGTTCTGATTGCTAGGAATAGGCGTGACTTCTCTCTCACCATCAGTGTTTATGACATTGCAACGCCACATTGGATTGTCTACGGTTTTTTCCGGAAGGTGACCATCTTGTCTCTTCACACTTTCTCCAATTTGTCCGATTTGTTTCTCGAGCATCTTGATATGAGTTGAGAGGTTAGTGAACTTCTGAAATGACTCCTCATTGTTCTTGTTGAGGTGATCATTCATGATGTCTAACTTGTACCCAAGATCATTCATGTCGTCTAACTTAAGCTCAAGGTTGCAGATGTCTTGGGCGATTTCTTCATGTACCTCAGCGATTCGTCTCTCCATAGCTTCGGTGCTTTTTGAACTATCTATGATTTGTGATTGCTGCACGTCCATGCTATCAACATGAGTGAAAAGAGCTTCAAATTTACCATTAAGGTCAGTGTATAAGCAGTCCACTCTTATATCAACATCGTCTGCTAATCTTTGCAGCTTCATAAGAAGTGGTTGCACCATAAGCTCGAGCTTGGTATCTTGAGAGGTTGGAGATGATTTTGGAGCAGATTGGAGATTCATATGGGCGTTATCTGGTGCTCCAAGTTGATGATTAATCTCAGCTGCATTAACTGCTTCGCAGACATTAACAGAACGCTGCTGATTTTGGAGAAACAATTTCACCATGGCTTTAAGTAGAACGTGATGTTCCTCCTTGATCAGGACAATTGTTTCTGCTGTTTGCAGCAAGATTATTAATCAAGATGTAAGCTTCTTCCACAGTCCTTGTCATGAAGTTTTCATCGCTTACTACATTTAGAGGAGCCTTAGATGTCCATTCAAGACCTTCGTAGAAGATGTTCAAGATGCATGTCTCTGTAAAACCGTGATGAGGACATTCCCTAATGCAGCCTTTATAACGATCCCAAGCTTCATGAAAAGGTTCGTCTCCTTTTTGTTGGAACGTATAAATCTTGTCTCTAAAGAAGTTTGATCTAGAGGTGGTGTAGAAATAGTTAAGGAAGGCAGCCTTGCATTCGTCCCATGATCCGAGTGAACCAGGAGACAAAGACTAAAACCAAGCATGTGCCTTATCACAAAGAGAAAATGGAAACAACTTGCACTTTATGTAATCTGCAGGGACTCCGATTGATTGTTTGGTGCTGCAGATTTCTTCAAAATCTTCAAGATGATCCATAGGGTTCTCCGATGCATTGCCATGGAACCGGTTCTGCTTGACCAATTTTATGAGCTTCGGACTTATCTCATAGTCTACGTTGATGGGTTGTAGACTAATGGGAGAACGGTTCTCATAGAAAGCATACAGATCTTAGAGTTAAGCAAGGAGCGTTTTGAAACCTAACGTGCTTTTCAACGTTTTGCTGGACGTGGTGGTTATCTCTAAGCCTATCTAAACCTTGCAAGTGTCTATTGTTATCGTTCATCTCTAATTTTTTATTTTTTTTTGTGTGTGTGTGTGTGTTTTTTTTTTTGTTTTTTTAATTAATTAATTAATTAATTTATGTATATTATATATATAAATATTTATATTTTTTTCGTTTTTTTTTGTTTTTTAGTTTATATATATATATAAATATATATTTTTTAAAATTTTAATTTTTTAATGTTAATATATAGATTTATATATATATATATTTTATATAATAAATATATTTTTTTAGTTATATATATAAATTTATATTTTCCTTTTTTTATATTAATTTATATATATGTATATATATTTTATATGAAATAATAAATAGATTTTTTTTTTTCAAAAATGAACAAGAGAACGTACCTTATACTCGATTCTGACCTGAAACTCGTAGGCAACGTTAAAGGTCCCCGGCAACGGTGCCAAAAACTTGATGTGCTCAGGTTTTAACCCTAGTTTTCTGCAAACGCACAGATGTACGTTGTAGTACTTAGGGGTCGATCCATTGAAAACCAAGTAACTGCAATACGAGTTTACTTGAGATGAGAACTGAGCTAAGATGAAAATATGAGTGTTTGTTTGGGGGTTGTGAACAGTGACGAAAATAGCAAATAATAAACTTAAAAACAAGTAAACAATAAGATCAAATCAATACGAGAAGGTGTTGGGCGTTAGGGAATTCGCCGAGAAATCATAGACTAGCTAGCTAACAAGAGAATTAAACATAGAGTTTTCTACAGATGTGTGAAATCAACCAAGACTAAGCTACTCACACTACAAGAAATATGCTTATTGATAGCACATTTTAATAGCGTAATATTTGTAACTGCTATTAAATGTCATTTTCGGAATTGGGTACTCTAATATAGCACTTAAAAAATGCTAAAGAGTAAATAATGTGAGCGGGAACAAAAAAAAGGCTTTGGCTCGCATAAAACACTTATGCCCGCCAACACTTAGTAAATATTTCATGTTATAGACAAAACATAACAACATTCTGTCGACTAAAAAAAAAAACCATTTTCTCGGGTGAGCAAAAAATAGAAAGTTCTAGGGTTTACGAGAGAAGAGAGTGATCTCAAATTCATCAAGCCGATTAACAATCTGACGTCTCTGAAACCCTCATCGTCGGAAATCTCTTTCACCAGTGTCGATTTCGGGTTTAGATCAGGTCATCTTGATTCCTGTTGGAGTTAAGCTCTCGATTTTGGAGATTTCTGGGTTTAGCAGGAAATTTTCGGCGATTGAGGCAGAGTTGTTTGTCAAGTTCAGCGGAAACTAGACGACGCACATGCAAAGGTAACTCCAATTTCACTCTTCATAAACCCTAAATGTAATTCCATCATTCGATTCATTTAATTCTTATACTTGTTTTACTTACTACACTTTCATTCTCATTTCTTCCCACTTGAGGTTTCGAAGCTGAAGAGAAACTAAAAGACAGCGAGAAGACATCAAATACATAGGCGAACAAAGCTCAATCGTGTCTGATTTCATCGATAATCAAGGTAAATGTAACTCGTTAATCGGTTTAGGGTTTACACAGAATTGATACGAAACTCGTTTATATTGAACTCTACTTTGTCTTCCGGAGTACTTTTAGGGTGTTTGTTTAGGGTTGAGTCGTTTAGCTAACAATTGTTATTAAGGTTGGAGTATACAATGGTGGACAAGGCATGGGTTCACCTATGCAGGTATCACTTAATAAACATGTGTTCAGGGTAGATGTGCTTCTATATAGTTTACCTGTATAGTTTTGACTTTTTTTATTCATCGACATGCATATGTTGAAGAGCGGATCCTGCATATGAGATTGGTGCTAGGAATTTTGTGAACTCAGTTGCCTCTGCCTTAGGAGATTGTGATTTGGTTATATGCCCGTGCATTGATTGTCGAAACGTAGACCGTCATTCTAAAAATGATATAGCGGATCACTTGGTCACAAGAGGAATGGATGAGACGTACAAGCTAAGGACTGATTGGTATCATCATGGGGAAGTAAACTGTGGGTCTGACGAAGCAAAGAAAGTGATAAGAGAGTGGAACGAGGAGATTGTAGGGTTGTATCAAGCTGCCGAATACTTGGATGAAGAGTTAGCTAACAAGACGGACTTATGCATTCAGTATGACCACATTCACAATGAAGGCAATGCTATTGTGGACTATTAGTGACCTACCTGCATATGGAAATCTGGCTGGCTGCAGAGTAAAAGGTAAGATGGGATGTCCATTATGTGGAAAGCATACTGATAGTTTATGGTTACCTAATAGCAGGAAGCATGTTTACATGTGTCATAGAAAGGGATTATCACCCACGCATAGTTACCGTGGGAAGAAGGCATGGTTCGATGGAAAAGTTGAATATGGAAGGAAGGGTAGGATTCTAACGGGTCATAACATATCTGTGTTACTGAAGAATTACAAAAACGAGTTTGGAAATGTTAGACAAGCTGGAAGGAAAAGAAAAAGGGTTATTCCTGCGGAGTCATTAGCTGATAGTGAAGACGAAGAATCCGAATCAGAGGAGGAAGAGGAAGTAGATGAAGAAGAATTATCTAGATGGAAGAAACGATCTATCTTTTTCAATCTTCCTTATTGGGAGGTATGCTATCATTTTACAACTTCATTTATATTTGTCAAATTCACTATACATAATTTAAAGACTTTCAGTTAACATGTCTAAATGCAATCCATAGGAACTCCCGGTCAGACATAACTTAGACGTTATACACGTAGAAAGAAATGTTGCAGCGAGCATCATTTCCACCTTGCTGCATTGTGGAAATTCAAAAGACGGTCTTAATGCTCGTAAAGATCTACACGTCCTTGGTATTAGGAAAGAGTTGCATCCTAAAGCCAGAGGCAAACGAACTTACTTACCTGCAGCACCGTGGACTTTGTCAAAGGAAGAGAAGAGACTATTCTGCAAGCGTCTACATGAGTTCAAAGGACAGGATGGTTATTGCTCCAATATATCCAGGTGCGTATCATTAGAAGAGTCTAAGACAATGGGATTGAAGTCACACGATTACCATGTGCTCATGCAACAACTTTACCAGTTGCACTTAGAGATCTTTTACCGAAAGGGCCTAGAATAGCCATTACACGATTATGTGCATTCTTCAACAATCTATGTCAACGTGTTGTTGATAGGGAGAAAATATCAGGAATGGAAAACGAAATCGTTGAGACTATTTGTATGTTTGAGAGATTTTTCCCACCTAGTTTCTTTGATATAATGGTTCACTTGTGTATACATCTTGGGAGGGAAGCTAGATTAGGTGGACCTGTGCACTTTCGATGGATGTATCCTTTCGAGAGGTAAGTTGTCTATACAAGTTTTTTGATAAGTTTGCTTGCCGCATATTTCATCTTCCATTATCGTTATTCTTGTCTTCTTAATTCCTACCAGACACATGAAACTGTTGAAAGACTACGTCAGGAATCCTGCAAGACCGGAAGGATGTATTGCTGAATCATATCTAGCAGAGGAATGTATGCAGTTCTGCAGAGATTTCTTGAGGAAGACCACAAGTGTCGAAGGTAGACAAGAACGAAATACTGAATACGAAAGCACTTCTATACTCGGAGGGCGACCTATTTCTGCTGGGAGGTCTATCACACTTTCTGAAGTGGAAAAGAAAACAGCACACCTAGCTGTCATTCAGAATACCACACTGGTAGATCCTTATGTAGAGTAAGCTCTAATTTCTTTATTATGCTGCATTCATATTCGGAATTCAGTCTTGATACTAATATATTTCATTGTTGTCTAATGTCACTTTGTAAGCATGCATCTGCAATACCTGCAAGACACAAACCCACGGTGTAGACAAGATGCTACTTTCCTATGGAGTACTCACACTAAAAAATTTTCAGAGTGGCTTAAAAAAAGTGTAAGTAAGCTGTTTCAGTTCCGTATTAATACAAGGTACATTTCAAACGTATTGTTGATTTACTTACTACATTATTTTTTGTCAGATACCACTTGACTCTACGGAACATGATGACACACTTAAGTGGATTTCATATGGTCCACGTAATATGGCTAGATCATACACTGGTTACGTTGTTAATGGTCTGCGGTTTCACACAACATCAGTTCAGAGACAAACGCAAAACAGTGGAGTATATTATGAAGCAACTGCAATGTGTCGAGCCAGTGCAAGAGACACTTCCCAAATCGTGGATTTGGTTTCTTATTATGGCAGAGTGGTGGACATTATCTTATTAGACTACAACGTATTCTACATACCTCTATTCCGATGTCAATGGGCGGTCAGAGGCAACGGTGTGAAGGTGGACGAAAGTTTTACGTTGGTCAACTTGAACCAAAGTCAAGTCTTTTTCGCAAGGGATCCATTCATTATGGCATCTCAAGCTAAGCAAATATTCTATTCCAGAGAGGACGAGTCTTCAAATTGGTATGTGGTTATGAGAGGCCCTTCAAGGAGATACACTGAGGCAGACAGTGATGAGGCAGATGCTGGGCCATTACCATTGAGTGTTGACATGAACGTAGAAGATGTTGACGCTGAAGACCAACCTGCAAGGGTTGATTGTGAAGGAATATACGTTTAGGACATATACGTATTACCTATTGCGTAGTTAGAGTCGTTGCTTTCGGTTTAGTGTCTATGCTTGACTATATGGAATATGGTGGTCTGAATTTTTCACTGATGGGTTGTATTGAGTGTTTCAGGTGATAAAGTATGGGTCGACCAAAGGGAAAGAATAGAAAAAGGAAGAATTTATCTGAGGAGCCAGAATTTATTGGGACAGTATATCCGGAAAGTATGCATGATGGAGGAGAAGACAATGCAGCCGGAAATGATCAACCTGATGAAGTTATGAACGAGGCTGTGCAGACGCAGATTAATGATGAGACGCAGAGTCCAGAACATAGAGTGTGCTCTCAGGAACCAGATCTGAATGATGGATTACCGAATGTTGATGAGGATGCATTCAATGAACATGCATTCATGAATGATGAAACGCCGGCGCCTGAATCAGAAGGGACTACAGCTCCAAACAAGCCTAAGCGATCTAGAGGTCCAACAAGGATGAAAGACATCGCAAGAGATCCTAACAGTCGCATAAAGGTTGAATTCAATAGCATGGGAGAACCGTATGGATCAGGATCGGTTAAGCTGTCATCTTACCTTGGGCCCTTGGTGCGTGAACACGTCCCTGTCATTATTGAAGATTGGAGGAAGATTGGTGAAGAACGTAGAACAGTTCTATGGAAATCTGTACAGGTAGACCCATTTTAATTTAGAATAAGGTAAGTATTATGGACTTGTTTTTTATTGTTTGATTTGGAATTTATTGTAGGCAAGGTTCGAATTAGATGAGGAGTATCACAAGATGGCTGTCATCAAGCAAATGGGTTGTATATGGAGGGCCTCAAAGTCGAGGCTAGTCAGCCAGATCAAGAGTTGTAAGAATAACGCAGAAAGATTGAAGCTTCGCCCAAAGAATATTCCACCGGCAGAATGGCGCAAATTTGTGAAGGCTAAAACTAGTGCAGCATTTGAGGTAATCACGTAGCCCTCACTTTACTTCCATATACAGATAACTGAATTTTCGTTTTCAGGAACTAAGTGACACATATAAAGAAAGAAGGCGAAACCAGATTCCTCATACTTGCAGTCGAAAGGGGATGGTCAGACTGGCTGAAGAGATGGTAATATTCCGTATGTGTAATACTTATGCAACTATATGCAAATAACTAACATTGCCACCTATTTTCAGAAAAAAGAGAGCTCTGAACCGTCTGAAGTAACTAGACTACAGGTATGGGTTAAGTCTCGAACAAAGAAGGATGGCACTGCAGTCAATACAAATGCAGCCGAGAAGATCGTAAGTAGTTAACAATAACTAGTTGGTTTATTTTTAAAAGTTGATGAATACTGGCATATCTTGGCTGATGTCGAAAGTGTGTGTACAGAAAAAGGCAGCTGAACTTGTTGAAACGGTTTCTCCCTCTTCGACGTCCACAAATCCCAAAGAAGATCTCCTTTCTCAGCTATTTGGGCCTGATAATCCCGGCCGTTTGAGAGCGATGGGTAGAGGGATGAGTCAAACCAAGTTAGCATGCTTCCAGATGAAAAGCAAATTTATGGATGGTATGAAACGAGATCAACTAAGATTGATTCAGCAGGTCCATGATTTAGAGGAAGCACTGTCAAAAATACGGAACCAGGTAAGCGAGTATTTCATGTCTGGTGATAGTAACTCTGAATTTTACATTGTTATTATATTAACTTAGGTTATTTCAAATTACATTTTTCAGAAACAAAAAGCTGAAGTCGGAGAGAATTCTGCGCCAAGAGTAAACTCTTGTTTTGTCTTATTTAGCATTTAAAATATATGTCATATGTTTACATCTGTTTTTACAATTCACCATTAACGTTTGCAGAGTGTCAACATGAAATTACAAATGAAGTGTCTGTTATTCGACTGGGCTGGAACGGATGAAAAAGTTGGTGAAGGACGTATTTTGTCTGAAGAGCCTGAGGAATTTGTCAACATTATACCCTTAGGCCCAAACTCGTACAAAATTTTGGTGGAAACAGCGATTAAGCCAGAAGCTTATCTTTGGAGACCTGCTCGCAACGTCTTTAATATGGAGCAAGCAGTTGGAGAGATGATTGCATGGCCTCAAAATTTTGTGGTTCCCTTTAGCAGCGGATGTGAACCAGAAGACATTACGCCTCTGGTAAATATTCTTTCAGTATGGAATATTATAGTTGAGTTTCTAGTAAAAGTAAAACTGTGCAATGCTTGACAATGGTTTCATTTGTTTACTGCTTCACAGAGTCCTAATACTAGCTCTCGGAACTTCTGCAAGCTGCTTGACTGGGCTAGAACTAACGAGGAAGTTGTTGCAGAGGGTCGTTGGCATTCTCGAGAGCCAAAAGCATTAGTCAACGGACTACCTCTCGGACCTAATGCAGTGAAGGTATTCGTCGATGTGGTTTTATGCCCAAATACCTTCCTCTGGAGGCCAATGACTGAGTTCTTAGATTTGGAGGATTCAGTCAACACCTTTGTCGCCTGGCCTGCTAATAGAGTAATCTTTGAGGCAAGTCCTGAAACGAGTTCTCCTATTGCTAACTCTGAATCAACTCCACCAGCTCCAATAAAAAAACCAATGAAAGCAATGTCAGAAAGTTCTACTCCTATAACTCAGGTAGGTTTTCTTACTAAACTTTCATTTGTTTGGTTTGTTTGGATTTGTTGATTTCGTGTATAGCTATATATTCAAAATGTCTTCGCTACAGGAATCCAACCAAATGGAAACGGGGAATGAAAATAAGAAGTGCTTGGTGATGGCTATTACTGGAAAGAAGCGAGTGATTGCTGAAGGACGTTGGTCCACAAACGATCCACTTCAAACAGTACATTTTGTTCCCTTGGGTCCAAATGCAGTTAAGGTGTGGATTGATGTTGTCAAAGTTAAAGATGCTTGCGTATGGAGGCCTTCGTCTGAGATCGAGTGCATGGAAGATGCAATAGGAACAGCTATTGCTTGGCCAGAGGATAAAGTGGTACTCGTCTAAATGCAGTAGTCATCTGATACTTTAGTTTTTATCTTCTCTGAACTTAAGGATGGTTTCGTTGAAGACATAACCTGATATGTGTTTATGGTTTTCTTTGTTGGAAATGCTTGTATGTTGCTGAAACATTAACCAGTACTCAGTTCTTCTATATGGAAAAGCAGATGCATTTCAATTTTTGTTTACCAGGTTTTGATATTTAGTAAGTGCATTTCTTGAGGTTTTGGATATATCGTATTTGGTTAAAAAAAACCTACATCGCCAAATTCAATAGTACGTAAGAACAACTCCAACACTAAACAATACAGCGTGAAAAAATAGCTACAGTATATGATGTTGGAGCTAAAATATAATGCTACAACTCAACTAACAACAGCAATGACTTTCTCTTATAGTAAACTAGAATGTAGCTATAAAACCACGCTACTATAAAGGTGTCAATAACACAAAAATAAAGCTACAACATTTAATAATACAGCGTCTAATTTGTGCTACCGTATCATTTATAATAACATCATAACAATGCTATTATATATATGAATATAATAACACTTTCCATAAACGCTATATTAAGGGGTGTACTCTATTATAGCTCCGGCAGATACAGCGTTTATGAAAACGCTATGAAAGTACTTTCATAGCGTTATTCATATGCTATAAATGTACATATTTCTTGTAGTGTCACGTAGTATTAATCACAAATCAATTCAGTCAGATTTACTAAACTCCCATTCAGTTCTCTAAGTATCTAGACAAATTAGTTTGATAATTTCACAAAACGCTTTAGATCGACTCACACCGTCTAAGAGAATTTGTTCATTTAAATAGGGTTAATCGATTCAACAACACTTTCGATGAGTAAATCAACCTAATCGCAGTAGCTAGATGATCGATCCAAACCACATAAACGAAACGCAAATTTAGATGAAGAATTCTAAAGATAAACCCTAATCTAACAAACTAAAAATCAATCCATGAATCCCTTTGGAAAATCCCTTAAAACCCAACAAGTGAACTACTCAATCATAGTGTATAAAAACATCACAGAAGTATTGTAGTTTGCTGGAAATTAAATAAGAGAAAGGTAAAGAACGAAGAACAAGGATGAAGGCAGATATCGATGGTGGCTCCTTCGGCGACTCCTTCTTCTCCCGAAGATGGCAACTCCGAGGTATGCGGCTCTTCTCTGCTCTCTTTCCACGGCTTGGTCATTAGAATGACCTAAAACGAGTATATATAGCCTTCTAATTCGTTGGAAATGTCTAGGGTTTAAAGAATAAATAGTGGGCTGGACTTGGGCTTGAATTAGGTCACTTTCGGACGTCAACGTTGCCTGGCCGCGGTCGTGGTGGTCCTGACCGCGGTCGCGGCCTATGCTCTCCTTCGAGACTGCATTTTCTGTCTTTAGTGCATCATGAATTTCTGAAGATCTAACCGTTGGATTGTCTCCAAACCAATTGCATTAGAACGCTGATTGTCTCCTATATGTTGTCTCAAATTGTGGGGATGATCGGACGGTTAGAAGGTCTTCATCGAGTACCATACTTCTGACGGTCTGCATTTATCCAAAATTGCTCATTTGTTCCAAATTGCACACATTTAGTCCAAGTTTCCTGAAAAGTCTTTTAAAACTCTAAAACATAGAAATCACTAAAAAACCATTGAAAACAGAGTTAAAACACCTGCATAAGATATTAAAACGGTCCATAAAAATGGTCAAAATCTGGTGTTATCATATTTCTAGTTTCCAAAGCTCCATTGTATCTAGGTGATGTGGGCATCCAGCCGCCTATACCACCAGAAATGATCTCATCAACCAAAGACACACCAGCGCCCAATCGAAGCTGAATGGTGCCATTTAGAAGCTGAATGGTGCCATTTAGAAGCTAACCGGTGCAATTTTGAAGCTGACCGGTGCCTTATAGAAGATGAACCGGAGAACATGAGCGTGAAGAACACTAATGGAATGCATTTACACACCAAAAGTGCATATGATGAAGGCATTGCTCGATTCAGACCACCCTTAACCCGAGCCGAATTCAAAAATACCCGAGATGCATCAAACTTGGCCGAGAAGACCGTTTCTAAAGCTGCTGATGATCCAAGCCTCAAACCAACCAAGGGAGACCATATTAACCAGCCAGATGACCCAGGAGAAGACTTTGGTCGAGTCATATCAGCTTTGACCCGACCAAAACCAGGAGCTACACTTGCCATGCTCTACGGTGTATCCAATAAGAAGTATGGACCAAAAACGATGAGTTTTAGTCCAAGGCCACCGCGTCTTGACCCATTGGCGACCAAGCCCATTTATTGGAGTCTCTTATGGAGCCCGCCAGCTGAAGACCCGGCCTGGAAAAATCTGGAACCACCTCTGGCCTCAAATACTCTTACGCGGGTCCAAACGAGTTCACATATGGAAAGCTTGAGTTTTGTTCACACCAGCGAGTTATCCTCACGTTTGCTGAAGTCTACAGAAGCTACCAAGGACCAAAGACCACCAGATCATGTCAAGACACATCTGTTTCCAGAGATATGTCGTTTTGGCCAAGTTACTAAAAGACTTGCCATAAACGGTAACACATGTAAAAGAAGAGATTACCACTTGACTTTCTCTGATGATCTCGACCCTCCACTCTCACCAGAAGATCTGAGGCGTTCATTTCCACCAGGAGACCTAAAGGAACTCGTGCTATTCTCAGCCGCATCACACGAAGCTTCTTCATTAAAGCCCAACGGCTAGTCAGCTCATCAATGGCGAGAAGATTAACATTTTTGATTTATTTGCTTTCTTTGTTTAACTTTATGACCGTTTGGTCTTGTCCTTGTTGAGCTCTATATAAGCTCTTTCCCTTCATCATTTGTACTCACGGTTTAAGAAATAAGAAATCATTTGTTTTGCTTCAAAACTCAAGTGTTTGAAACAATTCTGTTCTTGCGAATTTCTTTGTGTTTTGTGTATTTAATTCATTAGAGTTTCGTGATTGAGATTTTAACTCCCTTGCGAGGAATAACCTTTGGGATTAAGCCTCTGGCTACTTGTGTTTGTGGAATCAAACAAATCTATTGTTTGTGGAATAAACAATACCGGTTACTCCTTACCATCTCACCAACCATCTCTCGGCTTTAAGACTTGATTCTCTTGCGTAGTTCTTGGTGGATTCCGAGTAATACATCACTAGGGTTCCAGAATTGAGGCTGAGAAAATGATTTGGGCTTAAAAAATGGGCCTTCTAAATCGGAGATGGCTGGCCGCGGTCGGAAAGGACGTGGTCGAGGTGAATGGATGCTTAGCCGCTGTCATATGGACTCTGACCGTGGTGAAAAGGCTGTTGGCCGCGGGTGGAAATGCTTGCCTACTGGTTTACATGACATCTTGCTCTTTGCGTAACTTTTGATTAAACCGTTGGATTGCCAAACTGTAAAGTGTGATAGAAAGCTGATATTTCCATCTTTGAGGTCTCCAAATTTGAGCTGGATCAGACGGTGAGAAGGTCTTCATTTGAGAGTGAACTTCTGATGGTTTGACTCTAAGCTGAAAATGTGGTCTTCTATCCATTTTGTTAAGATTTTCCCTAGGTTTACTGAAAAGAGTCTTGTGATAACACCTGATTTTGACCACTTTTATGGATCACTTTCAATATCTTATGCAGATGTTTTTACTCATTTTAAAGGTTTTATAAGTGTTTTCCATGTTTTGGAGTTTTAAAAGGCTTTTCAGGAACTTGGAGCTTTGGAGTGCATTTTGGAGCAAAAGTACATTTTTGGATAAATTCAGGCCGTCAGAAGTTTGGCAACCAATGAAGACCTTCTCACCGTCTGATCATCCCCAAATTTGGAGACACTCAAGAGGAGAAAACCAGGTTTCTAACACACTTGGAATCAAAGCAATCCAACAGTTAGATCTCCAGATATCATCAATACACTAAAGGTCGATCAACACAAGTCTAGTCAAACACGGGAGCTTGCACCCACGGCCAGCCTTCTTTCCACCGCAGCTCAAGAGGTTTCACCCCCGGTGGACCGATTTCCAAACCTCAGAAGCCCAACTAAGGCCCAAGACACTTCCTGCACCCATTTTACAAGCCATAGACGCCCAAGACTTGGAGAAACACTATAAATACTTACTTTTAGGTCTTTTGTACGGGAGCCTCTTTCTTCTCTTTGAGAGAGAACTCATTTGTAGTTTTAGGTTTTATTTTTATGCATTTGTAGAAGCTCTCCATTGTCATTCTGTCTTCAATAAGAGAAGTCTTTCTACAACTTTGTTTCTTTTACTTTTCTTCTTCTTAGTTCTAAACCAATGATGATGTCTATCTCAGCCATGTCTGAGTAGTCTCCTAGTTGGGTGAAAGGGTAATCCAAAGGGATCCCATGTTCGTATGACATCTAGGTTTTTAGGAAAACGATTTCGATTTTTAACATGATTCTCCCAATCATCCAAATCTCAAAGCGGTAATTCTAGATTGATCACTCAGAATCTGATCCTAGGTTAAATGCGAGCCACGAGAGTGTTGTATCTGGGTTGCCTGAACTGGATCTTATGGACGTCACCGTCGTAGGAGACAAATGCTACCTACAGAGGATACGTAAGCAGAGATGGATTCCAATCTACAAAGCATGATCTTGTTCTGGCATGAGAGCGAGAGTTAATTGCCATGAATAAGTGATTAGATGATTAGGGTGACGAGAGTTGGCTAATCTTACATGTGTCTATCCTATTTTCAGAGTCATAGAAAATCCTTGCCTAAATTCCTTGTGTTTTAGAACATGAACCCTAATGATGAACTTTGAACCCAGTGTCGTTTTTCATATAAGTTTTCAACCGATTTTTACTTCAAGCCTTTTTAATTATTTGCAAAATTAGATTTAGTGACAAAAAAAATCCCTTTTTTATTTAGATTAGGTCTACGATTGTTTTTAGCATCAGTTAGAAGTCCTCAACACGCAGATCTCTGTGGATTCGATCCCTAAGTACTATTGCGTTTGCTGTGCACTTGCAG